TAAATTCAAGTCACATGATTGCTAGTGAAAGACCCTACAGTATCTATAGTTATAGGCAACAACATTTTATTGAAATTTAGTTCAAATATAGTAGCAGTTTTTGCACATCAATTTTGGTACTTAGGATTAATTATATTCAGGATTAGGGAACCACCCAGGGGTAGATTAAATAGATTCGCCAAGAATAATCTATAAAAAAAAAAACTTGTGAAAATAACAAAAGATTAACAAAGAGGTATATCATATTAGAATGACAGCCAAAATATAAAGGATTGCAGAGAACTGATTTTAGCTTGTTAATTTGTAGCTATCATTTTTAATCAGCTTTGTATTCATTAGCCTAGCCATGTGCAATTGTCTGGTCATACAGTACGTAGTAGCAATATAGCCACATGTTCATACATTGCCTGCACATATATGCATCTCTTTCCGCTGAACAATTGTATATGCTACTGTCTTTGTAACGCTATTGTGTAGGCCTACAAAAAAAAAAAAAAAAAAAAAAAACATAAAATGACAGACAGTTTGGCAAAGCTTTAGAGATTTTGATTGTTAACTACTCAGGCTGGAATGCACTTCTTTATTATTATTATTAACGGTAAGTTTTACCTCTGAGACAAGTAATCCGGGACTGAATGCTAATTATCTATGGCACAGGGCAATGTCTGACATAGGAAACAACCAGAAAGAGAGTAGTCCAAAATTTTCTGGCTATTTTGTTTTATATGTATGTAGATGTTTTTGCTTGTTTCTCATTGGTCATAAAGAACTTTGTCTGGAATGGCGAGTTCCTCGTTGATTTCATGTCCTCGGTGTATGAGCATGGCAACATTCAAATGGTATGAACATAATTTATACTGTACACACACTTGCCCCATAACGTCAAACCTAGATGACTTGCCACCTCAGAAATAAAACATGCTATTATCATTATTATTATCCTAATATATGGTTGCCATGATTGATGATTACGTTGATTATGAATGATGATGGACGATTCACGCCGCATTATGTACCTTCCCAGTATGATTTAAGCAGGTACTCAATTACAGTTGAGTGAATTGAGAGCCACCCTTACCGAGAATTGAACATGGATCATCAGTACGATAGACAAGTGTCCTAACCACTCAACAAATTATGATTGAAATAAAAATTTTGAATATAGGCTACTATGCTATAGGTTGTCCCATACCCATTTCAACAGCACATACTTGGTTGTATACAAAGTATGTTCATTATACAATAATTTGTTCACTATATCATTTCATGTCTATATTTTATATACCCAGATGTTATTCATAGGCATACACGAATGAATGTTAAAACTCATTCTTGCTGTTATGAGACATGACAAGAAAAAAATCATAAACTTTTTATTACACATCTAAAATAAAATCATGTTATTTGTGTAGATAGCTTTCTATGACAGAAAATGCTAGATGCTGAAATAATGAATTTTCCATTTTTTATATCACTTCTTTAATCGGTCATCGTATATTATTTCCTAGATCCATCGTTAGGTTAACGAGAGGAAGTGATAATTCAATTGTATAAAAATATAGTGATTAAATATGTTACAAGGTCACAGGAGATCACTAGATTAACATTTGTTAAATATTTTCAAATCCGTTACACTTTTTATATTGTATTCATTGAAAATGTTATTAAAAAAGAGGATTGATAACGAAGCTAATTATATTAATAACACAAAAAAGTATTGAATATTACACATTTGATCCCAGGAACAAAACATAGTCTTCCTAATGGAAATGATTGAAAAGGTAAGGAATTTCAGGTGTAGGAAAAAATGTAGTAGCAAAAAATGCCAGTAGGAATAAATGCCAATAGGAATAAATGCCACAACAATGGAACAAACCATTTTGTTTTGGATAAGACACTTTAATCTAATTACCTCATCTTTTGGATAGGACATGAAGTACTTGATCCTGTGAACATATTGACTGCACAAAAAGATTTTGAAAGAGGAGAGATTTGTCTCCAGATATACTATAGGGACCAAGATATGGTGTGTTAATGAAATACTGTTTATATTCACTATACAGTTAATTATTAGTATTGGGAATTGTTTTTGAATGTAATGACAGTGACCAGCGGAAAATTTCTGTGATGTGGTTAGATTGCCACTTATGAAACGAAAGCAATATCTTTGCTGTTAGCAATCCTTGGGCCATGCGCTTAAGTAAATTGAATCAAATCCATTTGTCAATTATTTGAAAATTTAAACGGATGGTCAGTCCAATGCTTATCAAAGGTGGATGTATTAAATTGTGGTGGCAGTATTGATGATACAGTTGGTTAAGTTTCTGTCTTAAGTGCAAAAGAGCTTACAAGCCAGATGGTAGTCAGGCCTACCTAGATTTTTACGAAAGGGGGGGGGGGANNNGGAGGGGGTATGTATGGGTTGCATGCTTATCGTTCAATACCAAAACTAAATCCTGGTATAAAGCTATTTATTTTTCACAATGACAACATAAAAATTGTGGATCAAAGACTCCAAATTAAATCAGCTTAACTTTAATGATTACCCTTAATAATAGTCTCTCAATAAAAAATAAAAAATAGTAAAAGAGCACTATATAAATGCTCAAATTATCAGTATTATATTATTAAAAAAGAAAAGAAATTAGGTCATCTATGTTTTACAAAATATTATGAAATCATCAGCTTCAATCAAAATTATCATCGTACATTTCAGGATATCTGCCATAAACCAACTACAACGTTCTTAGAGTAATTATTTTCACACTAACTAGGTACACGCAACTCAGACACGCCTACAGTATGACTAAAAGCCGGTAAATCCTGAAGGGTATTAAAACATGTAACATGGATATCTGCACAGATATATCCTGATTTGAAAATGTATCTTTTTTTATTTTATTAATTCACTTGTCAATTGCCGCCCTAATCTATCAGATTACCAGGTAACTCAATTGATTAATAAATTCAATTGAAATTAAATAATAAAACCTATTACATATATGTATTGGAATGTATATTTAAAATTGTGTGCTGAATTCATAAGTGAGTTAAATTTAGCATTGCTTTAAAACCTGGGCATAAACTTCATTTTGCTTTAACTAGAATTAGCATAAACTATGAATACTGTATTCATAATGGTGCTTGAAGTAAGCTCCAGGTTTAGGTAATGGTTATGCTGACCAAACAATAAATAGTTTCTTATGAAAATTTTTGTAATAAAAAAACTCTTTGCCCAAATATATTTTAAAGATGTTCTACCAGTAATGACGGATTATACTAACCAAGTGTATATTGAAATAAATTTAACAAAAACAAATCGGTTTAAAAAAAGTTTTATTTGGCTTCAAAACATAAAGCAATATGTGTGTCCGATCCACATGATCACGCACTGGCAGGTCGAGCAAAACCATACTAGGGCTGAAAAATGTCCAAACAAGTGCCCTCTATGTCATACAATTGAATAAAAAAGAAAAATATTTCGTTCATGGTTGACCTTAAACCGTAAACGGAGACTAAGTCTAGCTATGTACGGGCTTTAAAATGATGGCTAGACCTAAGCCTGTTTTCATTTAGTGTCCAATATACCGTAAGGTAATGAATACTATTTTTGACTCAAGCAACCACTAGCTGTATAGTAGTAAAGAATAGGCTAGGCCTAAATCTGGTCGTGGCTTGACAGCTCGGCGCAAGATCTGATGTTGCTTGCATATTATCGTTCGGTTCTCCAAATTATGCCTTCTATTTCACCAATTTTACGCGTGCATCTATGGTCTGATTTTGATAAAAATACATGTCTCTTTTAGATTTTATGTCCTAAATGTTAATTTTGGGAGTGGTATTTCTCTAATTTGAACAAAATTTAAAAAAAAAACAAAAAAAAACTGTTCCTATTTTTTGGAAAATTTGGCCTTTATTACAAAAATCCATAACTTGATTACCAGCCAATAAGGATCTATGCAAAAGAATCATGAAAGTTAAATCTTATGTCTTGATGGGGATTTTTTTTTATTCAAATTTTTAATTTTAAGTTAACTCAATATACAAGTTAAACAATTCAAATATGAAATTACAATTTTCAATTTTTTTAAAAATTTGGAAACTATGAATTTAGCAAAAAATATAGACATATCTTCAACGAAAACAACAGTTCAAAGTCTGACAAAATATAGTTCAGAGTTCATACCCCTATACAAAGATTTTAAAAAAGAAAACATCCATGGATAATGGCCTCATAACTTCAGTTACAGTCTCAACATTCCTAACACAGATTCATTTTTTTTTGGCTAATGAATTAAAATACATGGTGGCAGACGGCCACGTCTCCCTAGAGAAGATAACATATTAGAATTCATGGTAGATCCAAGTTTGATTAAATTCCTATGGCTTCGAAAGAAAATATTTCTGGAGGGAAATGAAAAATATTGACTAATATATGGACAATTTGAAGACATCAGAATTCGAGAAAAATTAATCATATTTTGACCAACATTCAAGTACTCTGAAGTCAAAAGCTACAGAAATGTAATTGCGGTCAGTTCTTTAGTATCCTCCGAGAGTTAAACGCCATAATGGAACACATTATTGACCGAATGATATACCGTACAGAGGTTTTGTTGAAAATCATCATCATCATAAATGGCAATAAATGCCAATACCCTTAAGACTCTATGTACGAAATTGAATATCAACACCTGAACAATAGATGAAATTCAAAGTTGATTATCTATTTGTCAGGAAATTTTTATCTACTTCTGCCCAATGGATGAAATTTTTGGTTGATCATCCATTGGTCAGAAATTGTTATTGGTGATCAACCAATGTCTATTTACAAAAAACTGGCTGGTTTTGGGGAAGGGGTGGGGTGGGTTTGGGTAGAGTGTGAAACGGCCTGGAAGGAGATTGCGAAAATTGAGAATGCTGAACTAAATCCCTATTCCAATGAAAATTAACTCCCGTGAATTATTCGACGGTGTGGATATTAATTTCAACAAACTTACCTTCTTTGGACATCCCCACTTGCAGACATTTCTTCCATCGGCAGAGCTGGCATTGGTTGCGTGTATACAAAGAGATGTCGCACTGGCCTGTATTAGAACACGTGTAAGATTCATGTTGAGTAAGGCTACGTCTGAAGAACCCCTGCAAAAATGAAATCAGAATTGTACATGAATAATTTTCAATAATTTTTTCGTAGTGATGTAATAAATACAACCAATCATTCAGAAATCTTTCAGCCGCATTTTCATTAATTTAAATTTTCCCAAATTTCTAGGTATATCTATATGTATTTTTAACTTAAATTAGCATGTACATCGTCATTGGATATCAAAGCGCTTAAAATAACTAAGTGCATAAAACTGTACTCTGCAAATGAACGACTAAATTTAGAAATCTATATATCAATCTTGAAAAGAATGAAACTAGGCAATTCACTGAAAAGGTCTTGACGCAAATTACTTGACCAAATAAAAAGCAGGCGAAAGAATAATCACACGAGAAACAATTTGACTCGTGCAAACGTACTATAATCTAAATCTTTATTGGCCCAATAACAGAGTAATTAATGTTAAAGAAACAGTATTATGTAACTTTAATTCAAGTGCTCAACCTTTAATTCATTCATTTATTCAAAAAGTTACTGAATTTAAAGGGTATTTAATATTGTTAAATGTGTTGCAATAATTTGTATCATAATTTGAGGTTTATTCTTCTAAATGCATTATGGAAACAAGATTATATTACAACAGATTCCCATACATATCAATATCAAATACACAACATGAAGATTTTTCTTGATTCTGAATCAAGAACACTTGATTTTAAAATTTGCAACGCGAATTACATTTCATTGTCCATACTCAATTAGTGCTACAGTCCTCATAGAGTCATTGGCTTCAGTAATGAGGTCACTAGGTGACCTAGTTACTAGGGGTCAACTGTTTGCCCACTTATGTTTATGAACCATAAAAACGCAGGATTGAGTACGTAACTATGGAATAGTAGACAGCGCTGTCATATTGTGATTTCATTTGTCTGTTCGTATTCAGAAAAAAAATATGTCAGTTTCATGACTCTACTATAATAATATAAAATAAGCTAATTGCTAGAGAAGCAACATACTCATATTGTACTGCGTGGAAGATGCCAATATTACATTATAAATTTCATTAAAATCTCTCACCAAATACAGTAATATTAAAGATAAAATATTGGTGTTAAATCTTTTTTTTCCCCAAATTTCAATGTCCTATCAACTTTCAAATATATTTATATAAATATACTAGGTATTTATCAGTAAAATGCTCATGTCAATAGAAAATTAGGTTTGAATGTTTAAATAAAAATTAAATTTAAATAAATCATTATTTAAATTACTACCACATCATATTCCAATTACAATTACTATAATTACCATCACCATAACCACCATAACACCACTACCATGGTCACCATAATTTCCTAAATGCCCATAAAACAAACCAGTTTATATAAACGTTTTTTTGTTGTTGTTTGTTTTTAAGCTACAACAATAAATTATAAAGAAAAAGCATGATAATTAGCACAATAATAATAATAATAATAATAATAATAATAATAATAATAATAATAATAATAATAATAATAATAATAATTAGTACATTAATAAACACTGAATATATATGGTGGAAAAGTACCTAAGTACTTCATGTATTGAGTAACAAATCAAATTTATTAAACCATGATTGGATTTTCATAATCAAATATCACATTAATGTTTAACATCATGATTATTATGATAGTTTGATATTGGACATGAGACGCCTAGAGTCATCACTTCCTAAGCGGAAACGTGATCCTAAAATATAAGCAACATAGCAACTACACAGCAAAGATGGTCAACACACATCAACCATATGTCAATAAACACTGAATGAATATGGTGGAAAAGTACCTAAGTACTTCATGTATTGAGTAACAAATCAAATTTATTAAACCATGATTGGATTTTCATAATCAAATATCACATTAATGTTTAACATCATGATTATTATGATAGTTTGATATTGGACATGAGACGCCTAGAGTCATCACTTCCTAAGCGGAAACGTGATCCTAAAATATAAGCAACATAGCAACTACACAGCAAAGATGGTCAACACACATCAACCATATGTCATCGCCAATCAAATGTACGTCCTAGTTCTCACGGCACCACTACCAGTGTAGAGAAAAAAATGGTGCCAAATGAAATTGTGCTGTTGTATAGATATCTAGGTTCCTACTTCAAGTGCGGCCTAGTTAATGTTGTAATGGCGGACAATGATTTAAAGGACATGAACAACGACCGGGCATATAAGTCTTAGCAGACCTTCATCTTTCACCTGCCATGATATATATGATACGAATTCTGCATTTGAGTTTCAATGATGTCGTGTTGAAACGAGGATAAAAATGTAAAGGAAGAAATTGAGTTCACGGTCCAGTGGCCACCAAACTGTAATCTTACTGACAAATAAGATAAATAGCAAATAAATTGTAGACTATAAAATTCTCAAGCAATAATACTACAATAAAAAAAACAAAAAAACAGTACAAATCTAATGATCCTTAAAACATATACAGCAGGGAGGGAAAAAATGTTTGAATATATCAGGCAAGTACCCTACATCTATGATGAATAGATAATATGAGGTAATGCAGTTCCTGTCGCATGCACATCTCACTGTAAACGTGTATTTAATACTAAACTTTCGCCAGTTTGTCGTTTTGCATGCAAACCACACAGAACTAGGAATGCAACAGCCAACTCGTATACTGAAACCCAATTTAAATTGGCACATTAATTTCTAACTAATAGGGAAAAAAAACTAGGTTTTTGAAATCAGCAAAGAAAAAGGACAATAAACAATTATGAGGTGAGCTACTTTAAAGCATGTCACAACGTTTGATTAATATCAAATACATTTTTACACTTAATTAAAGTGACCAGCTACAGAGATGAAAGCATGTTCAACATAAATTATGGTTATGTGAAATATAATTTCTTGTGGCGTTCTATAGAAGTACCATACTTTATCCCGTAAACTTCTGAGTAATCATGTGGTACAGTGTCTGAGTTGCTTTAGCTAATCTAGTTCTTTAAGTTTTCAATACACAGTGAATATAAATAATTACGCGGTGTTATTTTTTCTCGGCGAGATGTTAAATGATTGATTAAACTTGATTAGATTAAAGATGAAGTTGATCGTGGGAATTAGTGGGAGGGCGTTCAACTATGCCGACTTTTAGAGAGTAGTTTACCTGGAATAAACTGATTAATGAAATGCTGCGCTAAATAAATAACGGAGAACTAGTAGATTTCATCTGCAGTTTTAACATTTCATCCTTTTTAATATAGCATTTACTAATACTATATTTGTATCAGTAGACTATAAATCAGGTAATAATAACTGATCCGGTCAGCCAAATCCCTCAGCTACAGGTCAAGATGAGATATTTGTTATTTTAAAAAAAAACTTTTAAAAAAATGGCAAAATCAGTAACTTTAAATCAGACTTATTTTTTTTTTATTTTTAAAAATTTCAATTTTGTTAAGGTGCACATAAACCAGAAGGCCCAAGTTTGAATAGTGGCGGAAACTTTTCAGTCTTTATTTATGTTCTCTAATGTTTAAAATTTATATATTTATAAAGAATTACCATAAGATTGTTCTATTCTATTCTAAGATTTCTATTTAAAACCTAAAAAGATGTCACTAAATAGAAAAATATTACAATTATACCATTCTCTTTCAATGAACAGTCTCCTGTTATTGAAAGGTAATTTACTGGAAGAAAAAAGCCAGAGGGTATATCGTATACAACTTTACAATGAAATTGAGAATCAATGTGTATTTTTTCAACTTTGCCCTGCCACCCGACACAATATTATGCTTTTATAGTTGTATAATTTCAACATGTAATATAAAACTGATTAGAAATCGATTCACTGGCCAAGTACTGAACATGTAACAGCTACCTATATGCTTTAATGTGGAAACAATGCCCTGCATGTTATTCCGGTACAATTCTATCGACCGGGTTCATTGAATTAGGCCAAGTGGATGCTACCCATCTGACTGTAGACAGGATTCAGGCCGGATATTTCTAATGCCCTTCCAAAGTTGAAGAAATCTGAGTTCTAATCAGACTTGTTATAAAGGTGAGAAATATAACACAACCAGAAGAAATCAAAATCAAGCAATCTAAAAACATGCAGACAGAAAGTTCACAGAAATAGGACAAGTCCATTGTTATTATTAAAATATCCCTCCCTTTTAAGTGGCGTACCATTTCATCAGGTTCTCTCAAATAACAAAGGGAATTGTCTGTATAAAAATGTCCACTTCTGAAATGTGTGGGTATTTTATTGTTCTTTCTTTGTTTGGTGTGTTTCTGAAGATATCAATTACTTTGAATTTTAAGTATAGCTAACATATTAAAGAATACAGCAGTAGCTGAAAAATATGCTATTAAATGTGCTCTTAAAAAATTTCAACAATGATTGAAAAATGAAATTTTAATAAGTGTGTTTGACAGGATATCAATCAAATGATGTCAACCTTCAATCAAAAAATACTTTTGAACTTAACAACTAAGTATTTTTTAACAAATATATATGTATGTTCTAGTGCTGTTCCGATACACATGAAAATAGAGGAAATTAATTCCCATGGGATTGAATTCCCAATGAGGCATAACACACACACACACACACACACATGAAATATATATATATATATACACATATACACATAAGTATATAATACAGCAAGCAATATATATTTATTATATATTTTCTGAAAAACAGTTTTTCTGAAAAACAGTTTTTCTGAAAAACAGCTTCATGAACAGTGTTAACGGCTATCTTGACGCAGGGTTCCCAGAACGCCACCCTCAGCGGCGAGTACGAAGCACAACTCAGGGTCAAAAGTGGAACATGAAATTTGGATATGGTTTTGTAGTCAGATTTGCGAGAAAAACTTCAGCAACCCGTATTTCTCGACTGAGACGTCAGTGGGAGCTGTAATTTGTATGGCAAGGAGATTGAGCAACCCTTCATTCATATTAAGGGAATTGACGCCCAGAAACTTTGTAGTTATTAATATTTTGGTTATAATA